CCCGCCACGCTTCCATCCCCACCCCCGGCCCGCCGCGCTGTCACGACATCCTGGAACGGCATCCTGGCCGCGCCGCTGCGACCGCCTCCCAGACAGACCGAGCGCGTGTCGGCGCCCCTGGTCGATACGTCGAACATCATCGTGCATTCGACTGACCTGACCCGGTTAGACGAGCAGGCAGTAAGGACATCCCAGGTGGAATATTAGGAACAATAACTATTATACAACTATTACCAACAGCATACTGTGTACGTTACATACTAGCGGCTAAAGCACGAATCCAAGGCTGGATGCGTAGGAGTAAAGGAACTTTAGGTGACGCCGTTATGCATTGGGATTTTTTTTAAACGAAAGAAAATAAGAAAGCTTTCAATAAAAGGCACAGCCTTGTCTGTCACACTCCCGGATGGCCTCTTACCCAATAAACCTTCAAAAAGTTATCGCTATCTTTTAATATGTTGCACCCCGCAATTCAAAATGCACAAATTAGTACATGTTTAATTAGTACACGAGGCATTGAGCGAACCTGCTCAGTTCAGCTACAAACTCAGCACACTCTCATAGCGCCTGGTAGGTAGGCATCTTATGGCTGGCAGTGCATGCGTGTACTGCGGGTTGGCCTACCCCGAGTCTCGCGGGCGCCGAGCCGCCGCAATCTGACAAATAAATCTGAGTAAAAACTTTCTGGACGAACTGTAAGCTGCCGATGGTTGCCGCAGGCGGCCCGGGGCCCCAGGGCGGGGGCCCGCTCGCGGCCGGCGCCAACACCTCGGCGAAGTGGGCCACCCGCACGCCCCCCGAGTGGGACGCGGACGCCAACAACAAGTACGCCCGCACCCGCCGGAGGCCGTCCCTGCCCGCCAAGAACCACGGCGACGGCGAGTGGCGCGAGGTGCGGTCCGGGAGGCACCCGCAGTCGCCGGTACGCCGCCTGTCCCCGCGGCCGCCCTCCCTGAGGCCGTCGCCGTCGAGGCCGTCGTCCAGGCCGCCGAGCCGCGTCGCTGAGGCCGCCGCCGAGGAGGCGCCGACCAGGGTCGACACGACGACGCAGGCGCAGCTCGACCTGGCCGAGGCCGTGGCGAGCGGCCTCCAGGCCGATGGCCACGTCCACCACCCCCAGGGGTCGCCGACCACCCCGACCAACTCTCCGAGTGAGGAGCGGAGGCGGCTGCTGCAAGGGTGAGTGCGGGAGCAGTTGCTCTCTCAAAATAAAACACTCAAAGTTATTAAAAACGGAGCAATATAAATAAAATGAGTAAAACGGTAGAACAGAATCTCGATATATAAACTGATATAAAACCACAATGTCATGCTTTTCATAAATTTTACCAAATTCCCGTAACCAATAAAATGTTTTCCCGTGTTTTCCACAGGGACGTGCAGCGCTCTCTCTCGCACAGCAGCGAGCGTCCGCCCAGCTCCACCAGCACCACCCGGGCTGACGAGCAGGAGCTGTACGACGAGTACAACGCCCGTCTGCCGTTCATCGTCGGTAAGCCAAACAGGGAGGGGGGCACAAATACTATGGGGTCCCTTAAGGGCCAATAGGACCACCATCGGGGTCCATGTGACCCAATGATGTTGTCACCCGGGCTGGAATTATCATGAGGGGTCCCTATTAAACTCAGGATCAGCATTGGAGTTCATATAGGGACCTCGTGGTAATTGTAGCCCCGGGGTGACTATGTTATCCCTGGCCTCAGAGCAAGGCGCCACCCCGGAGACGGGCGATGCCGCGAGCCGCCCGGACACGCCGCTGCCCTACAGCACGGTGGCCAGGCCGAGCAGCCTGGGGCTGCCGCTGCTACCCAGCCTGCCGCCGCCCACCTCACTGGTGTGCCTCAGGACGCCCAAGACCCGCAGCGCCAGCGTGCACCCCACCGGCAACGGCCCCTGGGAGTACTCGTCGCCCACCCCCTTCGGTGAGTGTCCCGCATATCATACCGAGGACCGAGGGGGTGACTGCTGTTTAGCATTTGCCTTGGAGGGCGATAAAAATGCGTACACGATCGTCATGGTGGATTTAGTTTCGAGAGACGAGTTGCCTTACGGTGAGGCGCTGAGGCAGCTCGCTGTGAGTCAACTCGCCTCATGAGTCTTAAGCCTCCATGACGACAGCAAAAATGAAGAAAAACACCGTTAACGAAACAACCTTTTACTCAGAAAGTACTGTAACGTTTGGTGTGTGCCAACGAAGCACGCTTCTGTTCTTGTCACCTTTGTACATCGGCGTCGTCAGGCCGAGCGAATTACACCCTGCGCACTAGATGTATCATGTGAAATCAAATCGAAAATCGCAGTATATAGGACGCCCGTGTGGCGCGGCGGGGCGGGCGGGGCGGGCGGGGC